CCAGTGGAATGACAGTGAGTGAAACCAGTGCCTGGGTGCTCACTCTGCTCTCCTGGGACACGCTGTCCCATCGGGAACATGGCAGCTGCACAGGTGCTTCAGCGGTCTGTTTGGGGTGGGTGGGGACATCCCTTCCCTTGGACATCAACAAATGAAAAGATGGTATGTAGCCCTGAAAGCGTACAATTTTACAACTGCCTCCCTCTGTGGCGAGGATGAAGCCAGAGGCAGGACTTACTCCAACCTTCAGAAGCTTCCAGAAAGACTCTTCCCCTTTCTCAGACTGTGCTTTTGCAGCACTCACTGAGGGAAAGTAGCAGGGCTGCTCAACGGAGATCCTTCAAGGAATCCCATTGCAGTATGGGGACTGCAGAAGAACCTCTGGCCGAGTCAGTGGCTATAACATGCTGGTTATGGAGGCCCCACTCTGCCTGCAGCCTGCCTTCGCTAGCTCTTTGGAGAGCTCAGGAAAGGAGGCATCCCAGTACAGTACAGTCGCCACGGGAAATCAATTAGAGGAAGTCAAGGCAGACATCAGTTGGGAGGGTGGCTGTGCCTGTCCCATTACCATCTGGCCTGTTGCATGAAGGACACAGGCCCCATCAGCTTTCCTCTCAGCACTGGACTCCAGCAGCCTCCTGTCAGTCACAGGGAACTCAGACAGGCAACACCTGACCTCATCTATTTGTGCTCAGAGCAGAATTTGTGCTGAAGGCACGAATTGCCAGCGGGTGGCAGCATGGAGCCTCAGAGGTGGTCCTTCCACTGGGTGCCTTCCCTGCTATAAAACAGCAGCTAGGACTCGCTTAAAATGGCATGCATTTAAAGCTGGTGAAACTTGCTGACCTACGTGTTATCGCCAAACCCAACCAAATGGGATGAAATTTAACTAGTTAGGTCAACTTATCTAGTGTCTATCTATATTCTGTGTTCACTGGAACAGGTCAAAGGCAGGTGGAATGGGCCAAAGAAGGCCTAGAAATTTGTGGCTCGTTAATGCTGATACAAAGGACCCTGGGCTGGCAGTAGCAGCCACTGGTCGCTGTGCAGAGCCTCGTTTGCATGGGGCCCTCTGCTGAGAAAGCCTCCATGTAGGTGCTCTGAAGTGTGTGACTGTCAAAAGGCCAACACAAAGCACCGATAGACCTGCCAACTCCAACACACACACCTGATTGCACAGTCTGAGGGCTGCGACTGTTGCACCTCTTTTGACAGCTGTGTTCTGGCTGGACCTTCAGAGTGCAGGCACCAGGGGAGGCTCAGGACTCTGGAGTGCCCCACTCATCTTAGGATGGCCATGAGGATCTTACCTCCACAGGTGAGGATCTCTTAGACTCTTAGGCCACAAAGGGCAACAGAGAAAGCCCTTTGCAGCCTGAAGGGTAAGCAAGTGTTTCCCACGGTCTACCTTTAAGCTGACTCTAGGATCAAAATACACATCATCAAAGTAATTGTCCCGGTAGAAGTAAGTGACTGTGAACTCAACCAAAGCTGACCTGGACCTTCACTGTTCACACACAAAAGCAGAACAGGGCCCCAGCGAGAAAAGACAGCCTGTCTCTCATCTCCCTCTTCTTCATCTTGCAGAGGAAGCCCAGTGAGGGGGGTTGAGAAGAATTGTGTATGAGGTTCCCCTTGCCCTCTGAGACCTGTGAGCAGGGCCAGCTCCCTGGGAGACAGAGACGCTGTGAGAGGTAGGGTCAATCACTAACAGACACTGGAACCACAGGCTGTCTCTCCTCTAGCAAGTGGCACAATAGGAGAACATCAGTGGGGCAGAATCAGGTGCTGAGGACCTGACACCTAGGCTCAATGGGTTCCAGGGGCAGGGGTGGGGGTTCCAAGACCCAAATGCCAGTTTGAGGTGGGAGCACGGCAGAGGTGCCCGTCTTATTTAGGTGAGCTGTGCTTCGTGGTTTTGGCTGTGTGGATTCCTTCTCCAAGGAGGAGTTTTTATGTCTCTGGTCCAGAATGGGACAGAAACAGGAGACCTGGTTACCTAGCATTTGGAGAAGACTTCGGTTTTAAATGATTTTTTGCCTCACTCTTCACCAGCAAATGACTAATATATTAATATATAGTATTAATATATAGTAACCACACTGCTCAAATTGCAGAAGGCAAAAGACAGGGACTGGGAGAATGAAGACCTGCTCACTGAAGGAATCATAGAATCATAGAATCATAGAATATCCTGAGTTGGAAGGGACCCTTAAGGATCATCAAGTCCAACTCTTGACACCGCACAGGTCTACCCAAAAGTTCAGACCATGTGACTAAGTGCACAGTCCAATCTCTTCTTAAATTCAGACAGGCTCGGTGCAGTGACCACTTGCCTGGCGAGCCTGTTCCAGTGTGCAACCACCCTCTCTGTGAAGAACCCCCTCCTGATGTCAAGCCTAAATTTCCCCTGCCTCAGCTTAACCCCGTTCCCGCGGGTCCTGTCACTGGTGTTAATGGAGAAAAGGTCTCCTGCCTCTCAACACCCCCTTACGAGGAATTTGTAGACTGCGATGAGGTCTCCCCTCAGCCTCCTCTTCTCCAGGCTGAACAGGCCCAGTGCCCTCAGCCGTTCCTCGTACGTCTTCCCCTCCAGGCCTTTCACCATCTTCGTAGCTCTCCTCTGGACACTCTCCAACAGTTTCATGTCCTTTTTATACTGTGGTGCCCAGAACTGCACACAGTACTCGAGGTGAGGCCGCACCAGCGCAGAGTAGAGCAGGACAATCACCTCCCTTGACCTACTAGCGATGCCGTGCTTGATGCACCCCAGGACACGGTTGGCCCTCCTGGCTGCCAGGGCACACTGCTGGCTCATATTCAACTTGCTGTCTACCACGACCCCCAGATCCCTCTCCTCTAGGCTGCTCTCCAGCATCTCATTGCCCAGTCTGTACGTGCAGCCAGGGTTTCCCCGTCCCAGGTGCAGGACCCGGCACTTGCTCTTATTGAACTTCATGCAGTTGGCAATCACCTTGGTCTGTAATGGCCATAAAGAAACAACTCTCAGAGAAAAGCTTAAAATAGATGGAGCTGATGGGCTTATATAGAGCTTGTGTCATATATGGACTGCAGGAGAGCTCCTGAGTGCAAAAGCAGCGTTCCGGTGATAGCAGAGCAAATGCTTGAAAATATTCCCCTTCAGACACTGTCAGTAAAGCCACATTTAACAGGTCACACTGTAAGCTCCTGTCAGGAACCTGAGGAGAGGAGGAAACCAACTAGCACCTGAGTCTTACTGTTAAGGTTTCACAACATTGCTTTTACACCTCAAGCAGAGCAGGCACTACAACCACTTCATGCCAGTAGTTTCCTGAGGTCAGCGCAGTACTTCTTGGAGAAATACAACGCAGTACACAAGGAGGGTTTGGAACTGGGGTACTAAGAGATAAAATGGAGGCTTATCAAATATATGAGGCAGAGAGCAATGCAAGGTCATGGGACAGCTCTGAGGCCCTACAAGGCATCCTGCTCATAAATTATACTGGTCAACTGGGGGGGCTTGCCATGGATCTGAAGACACCAATTTGGAAGGGAACTGATATACACCTGTGCTGCCTAGCAAAGCAGTCAACAAGTGAAGTGTTCATTGCAACTTTAGCTGATTAGGTTAGTATTCAGTTAAGCTAATTTTACATGAACACCAATACAATCTTTCATCTGTGAGAAGTATTGTGCTATGGATAAGTCTCCAAATTGAAAACAAGTTTTGAGAACCCTCTTTTTTTCAATGTAATTAATAAATATAGGAATAAGCAGTAGAAATCATCTCATGTGATAACAATACTGCATACTATTTCTGCTGTCATGAATACCTTGTTTAATGGTTTTTATGTTCAAAAGCCTTTCATTTTTATAAAGAAAGCAGGTCATTTTTTGGGGTATATTCATAACATCCACTTAAAGCAACAAGATGTTAGTTGTAAAAAATCTAAAAAAAACTCCATAGTGTAACCTCTTTCTCTGCTTCTCTTAAAAGTAACTTTAATTTGACAAACAAACCAATTAATCAAGTGTCTGATAATTTTAGTTTTTTTATTGCTATCCTCATTTTTTCTCCTTTCATTCCATTCTCCAACTTCTTTTGCCTTTTCCTTCCTTTTCCGTTGTCATCAGAGCCTGTCCACCCCAATCACCTGCTCTGTAACTGGAGCTGTTTGGCTGCTATGGCATCTGATGGAAAGGGCATTCTGAATGTCACCTTCTCGGCCAAGATCCACTGCCCAGATATCTTTCACTGACATTTGCTGTGGAGATAGGAGAAGTTTAAGTAACCATAGAAATTTGATGCATAATCAAGAGCTGTTCCTCTTCAAAATTAAGTTCCATGTCCTTCCTGTCTCTAGCTAATTTTGCCCTTTATCTTCCCTTTTCTTTGTAAGACTATTTTACACTGTTGGCAGCTACTTAGGTGTTATTAGAGGAAAGTAAAGAGATTCCTGGTTTTAAAGTCTACTGTCGGAACTTCTCACATTGAAGTCACTTCCCTTTCCCCTGCTGTGAGGTCAAATACAACTGTATCAAGCATTGCAGAAATTAGTCTCTTAACAAAGGAACAGGATTAGAAGATAGTAAAGCCATCTCAGCCCATTCCCATCTAACCTGAGGTACAAAGAAGTTCTCAACAGCAACAGATACAAAGGTTAGCTCGCTTAACCCTAGGATGTATTTTGTCTTTGCCATAGCCAAGCCAATACCTGGCCCAAGGTGCCCTTCACATGACCAGATTAGTTATCCTTTCATTTGTTGAGCTCATCACTGGGTGTTCTCTATAAATCTCTCCAGCTTCTTTCCTGCTCTATCCTTTCTAGCACTGCTTATCTGGAATGATAGTTAAAATCCCTGAAGGACGTCTTATCCAGATAAACCACAAACAATTACCCAGACTAGATAAGCTAAGTAATGAAAAGAGAAAGCCTTCATCATATTCCATTTAATTTGACACATCACCCACCTTTCAATAGAATAAAGAGAACTTTTTATGTGGAAAGTGTCCTTACCATCTCCAGGCTCCAGGGTCCAGTGCCCAGCCACATCTTAGCAGAAGTGTTGGGATGAGAAGCTTTGCACCAGAGAATTAGTGTTCCGGCATTTCTCCTTGTCTCATGCCAGCATTCCTGAGAGGTCTTATTTTACTCTGGGGTATGAGGCTACACATTTGTTATCAGTCTGTTCATTAAGGATCCACAGGCACAAAGGTCCCTCTTGGCATGTTCTATAAATATTAACAGCATATCTGAGAACAACATTTGCAAGCTGCAAATCCCATCAGGAATTTTCTTTAAGATTACTGTAAAAACTAACAGCAAACAGTAAAAAAAACCAACACTGAGCATCTTTCATTATTAACAGGAAACATGGGTGTTTTAGCCTTGCATTCTGTGAGCACTGCATCATTATGAGACAACCTATTTTGTTGCATGTTGACGGTTTCTTTAGCAGAAGACTTGCCGTATCCCATCACTCTCATCCCCAAGATATACTCTGTGGGTGTTAAGTCGATTTCCTAAATCTATGTGTTAAACAACATATTTTGGCAACAAGCAGAAGAAATAGGCATGACTTCCAGCTCTAGTACCTCATTAAGTTTTTTTGCTGGGTTCAGTCCACTGAAACAAAGCTATATCTATCATGTCAATCGCCAGTCCCGAGGGAATACTTTGAACCTTCAACCCTTGAGAGTTTTGGCTTTAATTACAAAGAGGGGCTTTAGATCTGAAAGTGTTTGGGGCACTAAGGAATTGTATGGAAAGTTTGGAGAAAGTTTTTTGTGCTGTGAAGTTTCTCAGGGAAACATCTCAGTAGAGGAAATCTACTTAATTTTAAACAATTTTCTGAACAGATGACAAGAATTTTGTCAAGAGCCAGAAGCAGAACCCTGTGCTCTCCAACTTCAGAGGAAAGTAGAGCAATAGGGACTTGTAAAATTTAACTCCAGGATCTCTGTTCATAATGGAAACTGAACATCCCTCTGTATAAGAATGAATACTATTGCCTTGATATTTATTAATTCATATTATTTATTATAAGTGTTTAATGTCTTATTCTGAATTCTAGGACTCCTGTTTCTTTCAATGGAAGTCAACCAACAAATCCCTGCCTAAAAGAACTACAGTGCAGGACATCCACTTTGGAGTCTAAAAATAATCATAGAATATGACAAGAAACAAACAACAGGTGATGAAAAACCAACTGATGAAATCTGGGGATGCCTGTGAAAAAACTGATATGTTCAGATTAACAACAGGTTTTTATTAGTCCTCTTCAGCTCTGCAATCTTTGGAGTGGTATTTTGTTAAATGGCTGTGACTAAGGAACAAATGGGAAAGCTCTGTCCTGCCCACTTCAGTGCAGATCAGGTGAGGTGCTCTGAAGAGAAGACTTGACCTTATCTGGCAGCAATTAAACAGGATAAGAACATGATGAAGTAACTTCCAGAATGATGGGGAGAAGAGAGAGATCTGAATATGGGGCCTGCAGCAAGACTAGAGAACAACAGAGTGCTCAGAATAGCAGGAAGCAAGCAGACACTTAGGTCTCAAAAATGTAAGCTGGGAAGACTTCCTTCCAGCTCGTGAAAGACCTAGGAGTCCCATCTGTATACATTGTCCAAGTCAGGTTTTTCTTCTAGATCCTTTCTTCTCAGTGGTTAACACAGCTTCTGCCAGAGGTACTCTGACACCTCAGCAAGGTTTAAAAGCTATTGTTTTGATTATACCATTTTGATAAAAAGATGCAAATGCAATGGTGTAAACTTACATTGCCATGTCTATTGAAGAACTGCAGTTAGTTTTTGGAAAGAGGCAACATCCTAACAAAAAAGACATCAGTAAAGATCAGCTATTAGAACTGTTAGTCATAAACCTTCCAGCACTATTTTCCATTAGCACATATTAGAGCACTCTATTCAATTGAATTTAATGGTCTTAGACGCAGGCCTTTATACTTACTGTGTACTTCTGTTACGGAAGCCTAGCTGTTTCCTGCAATAGGCACACCTGAATGATATGAGCATGAGCTGTCCAGTGACACCACAGGAAGTCCAGATTCAACTCCTTCTCTAACAGGAAAAGTGGGGAAGGAATGACTTTGTGCCCATCTGTGAGTTGCCAACTAACTGTGCCTTGTACTGTTCTGAATTCAGGGCTGTTCTGGCATTGGTCCCCCATATGTGCTACTCAAGTCTGCTGTGGGAAGCTGAAGGGATTCAGGGTTTCCACCACGTGTCAGCAGGAACCAGGCATAAATCAAACTGCAGTAAGGGGAACTTTTTTTCTTCATTATGCTCTGTCTCAGTTCTTCTGTTCCATCTTCTTACTGGACCTGACACCTCCTTGCCCACCCAGGCACGTCCATGGGATTTTATTCCTAGGGACAGCTGTCATGTGCAGTAAGCATCTGCAGGGAAGGTGTTCTTTGGTATAGATATACCAACACCAGACTTGCAGCCAGTTTGGAGCCTTAGAGTTGTGTCTGAGTAGCCCAGTGCAGAAAGCATCCAGTTGCACCTTCAGAAGGAATTTCTGGAAGTCCTGTTGTTCTGGCAGTGGGAGCTCCTTTTTTTGAAACTTGTGGGATGAGAAGGAGGTGATCTGTACTGACTTGCACTTGACATTTTCAACTTTGCAAGGTGGATGACAGCTTTCCATACACACTCTGTACAGATATAATGCAGTTGGTGTAAATACAAGACCACAGAGATGGTGACAGCCCCGTAGGGAAGTACTGTGGGCTGCATGTGCTCTGCGGAAAGCTTCTGGTATTAAACCTCTTGGGGAGGGAGTCTCAGAGGAACATACAAATGACAAAATGTTATGCAGAAAGCCAGTGGAAAATGACATTCCACAGAGACACAGACTAGGCTTTGAGGAAAAGATCGGCTCCAGGGCAGGTATGTTGTGCAGTGGAGCAGGGAATCAAGGCCACTCAAGGGAGCCGTCAGGACCTGGCAGCCATCATGAGAGAGGCTGACGAGGCACAAGAAGAACCAGCAGCAGCAGCAGTGGCTGCGAGCCTTTTAAATTGGGCTTCGCCGCCATTTTGCAGTCACTCACCGAGGCAGCCGCCCCCCCGACTTTATAAAAGCAGGCCCTAGGGAGACTGCAAACGGACCTGCCTTGGTACTTAGTGCAGGCAGTTGAAGTGGAGGATCCTCTCCTTCCTTTCTCTCCTCTCCTTTGGGAACTCTGCCTCTTACAACTTATAATTTCAAGAGAGGAAGCTACTGTAGAGAGTAACAGTGAGCCTGCTGGTTTGCCAGGGCTGCACCCTGGCAGAAGGCTATTGCCAAGAAAAGTGTGGAGACCCAGACAGAGACTCCACACAAATGTACAAGGAAGACTGTTGCCAAGAAAAATGTGGAGACCCAGACAGAGGTCCTATGCAAACATGCGAATGTGCAGGTCTCTGGCTGGAGTGAGTGCTAGAGCCTGACCCTTGCAGTACAGGGTGACAGAAAACACCTGTGTCAGATGCAGCCAGGTGAATGATTTACTCGGCCTAGTGGCTGACCTGAAGGAAGAGGTGGAGAGACTGAGGATCATTAGGGAGTGTGAGAGGGAGATAGATTGGTGGAGCCAGTCCCTAGCAGCCTTGAGACTTAGGCAGCCAGCAGAGGTTCTGCAAGAAGCACATCACCACCTACCACCTTGTGAGCGGGTAATAGGAAGGGACCAGCAGGCAGACAGAGTTTCTGCTACAGTGAACCCCCTCTCCTCTCCTCCCCTTAACAATTATGGTGATGAACTGGGGGACAGGAGGCAATGGCAAAAGGCCCCTGCTTGGCGTTACAAGTGTAGCAGGTGCACCTGCCCAGTGGTTCCCCTGCCTCCCCAGCTGCCCCTGCAGAACAGATACACTGCTCTGTGAGGACAACTAGACACTGGTGAGGGTGATGATTCTTCCTACTTGGACGTACCAAAGTCTAATCAGACTACCCACTGCATTAAAACCTTCTCAGTAAAGAATAAAAGATGGGTCATTGTCATTGGTGACTTACTGCTGAAGGGAGCAGAAGGTCTGATATGCAGACCAGACCTGCTACACAGGGAGATCTGCTGCCTCCTGGGGTCCCAGGTTAAAGATGTAAAAAGGTTATAGCTTCGTTCGCTTATATGGCCCTTGGATTATTATCCTCTTTTGTTGTTTCAGGCAGTGATAAAATAGGAAGAACTTCTCTAAGGACTATGAAGAAGGACTTCAGAGCCTTGGGGCGACTGGTCAAGGGTTCAGGAGCACAAGTCATGTTCTCCTCTATCCCTCCAGTTATAGCAAATAATGATGGACTGGAAATGATGAGCCAGCGGAATAATACTTGGCTTTGAGCCTGGTGTCACTAGTGGGGATTTGGATTTTTTGACCTTGCCTTGATTTACATGAGACCAGGCCTGCTGACAACAGACAGGAATAGCTTATTCCACTGGCAGAAAAGGGTTTTAGGACGGGAGTTGGCAAGGTTCACTTAGAAAGCTTTAAACTAGGTATGAAGGGAGTGGGAGTGAAACCAGGGTTACTAGAAAGGAGCATGAATGTAACATGCCAGTTTTTGCGGATGAGGAATATTCTAGCAAGACCTTGCAGTCTTATATCTTGGTGAAGGAAGAGAATGGCATAAGATTTTGCAGGAAGGACACAAGGGTTGGTGAGAGGTTCGTTACTGTGGAAACACCTGAGTATGGTCAAGAGAGTATTAGAGCTTCTCCTTCCCAAAAGGTGGCCCAGCTGAGGTGCATTTATACTAATGCATGCAGTATGGGTAACAAACAGAAGCTGGAAGCCACCGTGCTAGTAGGAAACTATGATGTAGTTGTTATCACTGAAATCTGGGGGGATGATTCCCATGGCTGGCTACAGACAGTTCAGAAGGGATAGATGACGAAGGAGAGGAGGAGGAGTTGCCCTCTATGTTAGGAAGTGGGTAGATTGTGAAGAGCTATGCCTGAGAAACAGCCATGACCAGTTTGATTGCTTGTGGGTGAAAATTAAGGATTGGTTCAGTAAAGGACATCTAGTGGTTGGTGTCTGCTACAGGCCACCTGATTGGGGGAGTCTGTTGATGAGGCCTTCTTGCTTCAGCTGCAAGAACTGTTGTGCTCACAAGCTGTTGTCCTGATGGGGGGTCTCAACCACCTGGATATTTGCTGGGGTAGCGGCACGGTGGGTTCCAGACAATCCAGGAGATTCCTGGAGTCTGTTGAGGATAACTTCCTGGTCCAGGTAATAGACAGACTTACCTGAGGTGAAGCTTTACTGGACTTGGTGCTCACCAATGCAGAAGAGAGCATTAGGAGGTTAAGACTGGAGGCTGCCTGGGCTGTAGCGACCATGCCCTGGTGAAGTTTGTGATCTTAAGGAATATGGGTCTAGCAAAAAGTAGAGTCAGAACCCTGAACTTCAGGAGAGCAAAATTCTATCTGCTCAAGGAATTACTGTCTGGGATCCTCTGGAAAACTGTCCTTAAGGGCATAGGAATGGAACAGAGCTGGCAGCTCTTTAAGGACACCCTTCTGAGAGCACAAGAGCTCTCCATCCCCCAGCAGAAGAAATTGAGCAGAGGAGGCAGGAGACTGGAATGGCCAAGCAAGGACCTGCAGCTTAAACTGAGGGAAAAGAGAGAAATGTACAGGAAGTGGAATTACGGTTGTGTAGCCTGGGAGAAATACAGGGGTGTCGTCCTGGTGTGTAGGGGCAGATCAGGAAAGCCAAAGCACAGATGGAGTTGAGCTTGGCAAGGGATGTGAAGAATAACAAGAAGGGGTTCTACAGATACATAGGCAGGAGGAGACAGGCCAAGGAGAGTGTGCCCTCTCTGATAAACGAAACGGGAGAACTGGCTTCCTCAGACATGGAAAAAGCTGAGGTACTCAATAAGTGCTTTGCCCCAGTCTTCGCTGATGGTCAAGTTTCCTATGTCTGTCAGGACCCTGAACCTCGAGGAGAGGGCGAGAGGACCAGATTCCGTCCCACTGTGACACAGTGGAAAAAGTCTGGGACCACCTAATGAAATTAGATGTGTATAAGTACATGGGGCCAGATGGTACACATCCCAGGATGCAGAAAGATGGCTGATGTGGTTGTCAAGCTGCTCTCCGTCATATTTGAAAAATCATGGCTGTCAGGTGAAGTCTCCAGTGACTGGAAAAGGGGAAACATTACTCCCATTTTTAAGAAAGGGAGAAAGGAAGTTCTGGGGAACTACCTCACCTCTGTGCCTGCCAAGATCATGGAGCAGATCCTCCTGGAAGACATCTTAAGGCACGTATGAGGTAAATAGGTCGTCTGAGACAGCCATCATGGCTTCACCAGAGGCAGATGTTGCTTAATCGATCTGGTGGCCTTCTATGATGGAGTGACCGCATTGGTGGACAAAGGAAGGGTGATCGATATCATCTACCTGGACTTGAGCACAGCCTTGGATATGGTCCCTCACCACATTCTTTTCTCTAAATTGGAGAGATACGGATTTGAAGGATGGACTGTTAGGTGGATAAAGAATTGGTTGGTTGGTCGCAGCCAAAGGGTTGTGGTCAACGGTTCTATGTCTGGGTGGAGGCTGGTCACAAGTGGTGTCCCTCACGGGTCGGTCTTGGTACCAGTGCTCTTCAGCATCTTTATCAGTGACATAGACAATGGAATTGAGTGCCCTCAGTAAGTTTGCAGATGACACCATGCTGATTTGTGCAGTTGGTATAATAGAGGGAAGGGATGCCATCCAGAGGGACCTGGACAGTCTGGAGAAGTGGGCCCATGAAAACCTAATGAGGTTCAACAAGGCCAAGTGCAAGGTGTTGCATTTTGGCTGGGCTGCATTAAAAAAGGGGTGGCCAGCAGGGAAAGGGAGGTGATTGTCCCTCTTTGCTCTTGTGAGACCCCACCTGGAATACTGCATGCAGGCCTGGGGTCCCCAGCATAAGAAGGATGTGGAGCTCTTGGAACAGGTCCAGAGGAGAGCCTCTAAGATGATCAGAGGGCTGGAGCACCTCTCCTGTGCAGAAAGGTTGAGGGAACTGGGCTCGTTTAGCTTGGAGGAGGCTCTGAGGAGACTTCATTGCAGCCTTATCTCTTTTCTCTGAATCAGTGAAATCAATCTTCTTCTCTTATCAGTGTAATCAAGTAAGGTGCCAAGACAACTTCTTACCATTTGCAACTGCACGGACTGCACTTCATTCCCTCATGTTGTTCGTACAGAATGCACTGCACACAGGTAAGAAGTCAGGAAGGAGAGCCAGGAGACCTGCATGGTTAAACAGGAAATTACTGGGCAAACTCAAGTGGAAGAGGAGAGTCTGTAGATGGTCAGCCTCACCTCCATCCCTAGTAAGGTGATGGAACAACTTATCCTTGGTGTTGTTTCTAGTCATATCAAGCATGAAAGGGTCATTAGGGGTAGTCAACATGGCTTCAGCAAGGGGAAGTCATGCTTGACCAACCTGATAGCCTTTTTTGAGGATATATCTGGGTGGATAGATGATGGCAAGGCAGTGGACGTGGTGTATCTTGATTTCAGTAAAGCCTTTGCCACCAAAGGTGGCAAAGGTTCCAGGGTGACAGAACACTGGAACAGGCTGCCCGGGGGGGTTGTGGAGTCTCCTTCGCTGGAAACATTCAAAACCCACCTGGATGCATTCCTGTGTGACATAATTTAGGTGTTCTTGCTCTGGCAGAGGGACTGGACTAGACGATCTTTCAAGGTCCCTTTCAAAATCCCTAACATTCTGTGATTCTCTGTAATTCTGTGAAGTGTGTGACTGCAGTACTCTTACAAATCAGCATGAAAGGGGACAGGATTTCATCGCAATTGTCATCTCCAAAGGACACTGCTCTTCTTGATATTTTTGCTTGTTGGTTCTGAAAGAGAATTGTTAAAGAGAAAAATGTTACTGAGCAATCAAAGAACCCTCCACTCCATTCTGAAATTAATGGTGCTGTAACCAATTTCCCTCTTGGATTTCTACAGTTGCTACAGCTGGGATTAGCTCAAGCCCTTTCCATTCTCCCAATTTTTGCTGCATCACCTTCTAGGATGCAACACACTCATATTCCACAACCTGTCACTGATGGGATTTCCTTTACACAGCACTCACAGTGTTGCGTACCAGCCCTTCCCTTGTCCATGCTCAGGGTGGGACAGGCACATAGGCACTGAGTCTCTCCCAGCTGCACCAGTGCTCAGTTCATGCAGGGCCATGGTTTGTCACTAGAGCAGCACATCCACAGAGGCATTCCTCGTCCTTCTTGTGGCCCTGAGACCCTCACAAATCATAGTCAGGACATCAAACTCCCTGATTACTGGGTGAGGAGTAGCTGAAGTGACCTGTCCAGGAGGGGCACTGCTTCCTGAGTAAGCACCTGAGCCTGTTCTTCAGGCCCAGGACAAGTGGCCCACAAGAGAAGGTTTCCTACCTAACAGAAGCTGAGCAACTCTGAGCTTTCTACAACCTCTCAGGGCTCAATAACAGGGTTTGTTAGCTGTGTCCTGTGAGAATTGTAGGCTTCATGCTGACAGGAAAATGAGTCGGTTACTTGGAGTAATGAAGGCTAACATGCATTTTATCTTCTTCAGATGGCAGTAGGAATGTAGTTGTCTATACCTAATTTAACTGCAATGCATCTTGTTACCTACTCTGAATCTCATTCTACCTGCATCTTTCCGATGCCATGTTACTGTATAAAGAGTAAAATCTTGGAAGACTAGATCCATATTCATCATCTAAGTACAACCAGTTTATATTGGAATCTGCTATGCTTTATTGTCATGAATGAATTATCTTAAAAACTGCAGTCAGCCAGGAATAAGTGTCGTAGCATCCAGTCTTCAGGAAAAGTTGCATGACAGAACTCAGGAGTCACAATTTTTTAGTACAAGGAACAATGATACTTAAATTTAGAAGTTTCTAACTTTTGGACATCCCTTTATGACTGAGATGAATCTGTAAACTTGGACTTCCTAATCTACTTCCCATTGAACTGTGTATAAAACAAATCTCCACAAGGCATCTCAGAAATTCTTGGGCCTGAACTGGGAAACCTAGTGAAAAAGAGGAAGCTAACGAGACCGCCAAAGGAATTAGATGATGATATAGAAGGTATTATTTGCTCAGAATTTCACTGCTGCGCTATTATGAAATAAGAAATGCAACCTGACAATTTATTCTCTACTGTACAGGAATTCACTAGCTGCCACAGAGCAACCTGTTTATAGTAATTTTTAACCTGGTGAAGATGCAAAGATCTTCCAAGCTGAATGTAAGATATCAGCAGTGTTCCTCTACAATCACTTCTTTCAAGTTGTAAAGTAGAATAGAAGGGTCCTATATAATGATGTGGGGCTTGTGATCACTCTTTTCCTGGGTTTATTTTGTGCAGGAGACTGACACATGAACAGGGGCCATGGGATTTCTTCTACTGATGATCTTATTGAAGCTAGTTGATAGTAGTATTGAAAACAGCATCACACTGCAGACAGTGAAATTTCATTCCATTGGAATATAATAAAGTCAAGTTTCCTTTTTCACAAGGCAAATCTAAAAGCAAAATTCATTGCAAGATTCTGTCTGGCTGTAGGCTGAAGATCTGTGTCTATGTGCATATTTTCACTTCAACTGATATGTTGCTAAGTATTCTCTGTCTCTGCTAACCTTAGAGCTTGATTGAGTAGAAGTCATATCTTAAGGGCTGGCAGAGATTGAGGCAGCTGCCTGATCTCTTCCTTAAGACAGTTCTATTTTCAGCACGCCTGAGTCTCTTTTCCTCCACGGGAAATGTCAGCACTACACTACCTTGCCCACGACATATTACTGTGCAGGACATTCTGTTTCCAGGGGCTGCTCTAATTCCTCTTTTTAACCTATGCTGTGCTCTGTGCTTTGCATCCAGCTACAGTAAAGTCCAGTCCTGCTGAGGCAGGAATGAGACTGGGAGAAAGTTAGTGTCTGGCAGGATTTCTTTTTCCCTTCCCTTCCCTTCCCTTCCCTTCCCTTCCCTTCCCTTCCCTTCCCTTCCCTTCCCTTCCCTTCCCTTCCCTTCCCTTCCTTCCCTTCCCTTCCCTTCCCTTCCCTTCCCTTCCCTTCCCTTCCCTTCCCTTCCCTTCCCTTCCCTTCCCTTCCCTTCCCTTCCCGCTTCTTTCACCAGTTCCTTTTACCAAGTACTGTCATTCAAATAGCTTCCCTTCATGAGGCTACCGTAAAAATTTATGAAACATTGAGAGGCAAATGCTGTGTAGCTCAGAAGGATTTTGCAAATGCTGATATGAGTAGCTAGATGATTAAACACTGCTATTCTTTCTGCCGGAGTTTCCTGTCCTACGGAACAGGGTCTTGAAAAGATAGGCTGCCTGCAAACTTTCATTAATTATCATTACTCTTTAGAAGGAAACATTAAAGTATATGGTTACAAATATTAATCATACAGACATTCTCACAGGCATAGAAGCAGTGACCTTGTAGATTTTTCCTCTTAGCCTCTTTTAGCCATATTTTCTTCTGATTTCTTTTCCTTTTCCAACACCTTCAAATCTAATCCAAATGGAAAGGTCTTTCCTTTCTAAACCTGCACTGGGAATTCATGTCCATCTTGTGATCAATGTCAGACACTCTGTAACATCTGCCATTGCAATCAATCATTTTTTTCTTTCTTAAAATATAAGTCTTTTAATACCATATGTGGGAAACTATGGAATTCTTGGTAGATGAGGATTGGAAAATGTATTATTTTTTCGTACATGGTAGAAATTTTTAATTACCATTCACTGAAGCAGGACTTACAGAATTAACACCGGAATTCATTTTATTTGCACTTGGTGCTTTAATGCCAAGCATTGAAAAGTTGATTGTTCAATCCTTTTAACACCTGTGTTCTAGATGGGCCCAATAAATGATCTATCTATCTCCTTGATAGCACAACCCAACAAACCAAAATCTGGGCATGTGCATTAAGTGTGGTTGTTAAGGACAGCTTAAAGGCAGGCATGTTTTTGAAGAATTGTTGTTATTAATTTTTTTTGGAAACAAACAAACAAACATAGATGTATACAAGCATATGATTAATTTTGCGAACTTTCAGGAATTTCACTAAATGTGATTCTATACCAGCTTTTAGCTAAACTCTCTTTTAAACTCTGTTATAAAGCAAAGCTTACATTCCACTGTATTACTGTAACTGCACTGTGATCAACTTAATTTAGATGCACTTAGTAATTGCAGTAGTATTAGAGAACAGTAAAAAGAGATCATTTGAAAGTAAAGCTCCCATTTTACAATACCTTTTTCCTATTTCAGCAATAATATATAATTTTATGCATTCTGAAAATAAATAAATTGCATTTTATCCGATTGATTCCAAAGACTTCTGTTTTTTTCAGGGTCTGTGGAAGATCATAAACACTTCACTCCAATAACTCTAGAAATCTGCTGATAAAAGTAATCCATTACCTGAATGTACATATCTAAACCAGCCCAGCTCTCATGCATATTTTCCAGTGCTCTCATGTATGCAAGGTTCCTTTGTCTTTTAATGAGATGATTGTAGACCCGGCTTGCCTGGGACAGTGGAGTTCACAACCTGTAGTCCCAGAGCAAGAACGTGAAATATTCACCTTTTTAATTTTTTTTTTTTTAATGGGGGTTGTCAGGAACACAATATTTCTATTTAAAAAATTGCGAAAACACAGATGAAAGGGCTGAACAATTTGCTCATATGTATTCATAATGTTAAACACTTTTATACCACCCTGTAGTTGTTTAGTTCTTAGTTTTGTGGTGAAGTTATAGCCATCCAATTCAGTGTATGTACAACTTCTAGATCTCACCATAAGCTTAAACTGCTAATCAAATGGATTTTTTTTTGGTTGCAAATTATTAGTTGCAAATTTAGGTGCACACGATGTGAAATTTATATGCTGAGCAAAATAGCAATTGTAATCCATGAGATCTCTGCTCACAAACAACTTCCATACATGGAAATTCACATTTGTACAATGGTTATTCTAATACTGCTCAAGACCTTCCTGCTGACACTTTCCTGAGTGAGAAGGATCATTCTACATGCCTCCTTTCTTCCCCAGTAATACTTACAAGACATTTTAGTGCAAGAAATTACATAAGAAAACACATTTCAGCTGAGATGTCCTCCTCTGGCATAGAGATATCCATTTTTAATTATACTTCTTTTGCTTCTTCTGTCTCCCATTTAGGTAAAACATGAACAATCCTGATCTCTTCATTCTATTTTAGTAAAAAATTCTTAGTGGAGTCCTCATAGCCATACTTCTCACAGAAAAAGATTAAGCTTTCTGATGAAGAAGAAGCCGTAGTTTTTCTTTTCAAGAGATTTAGGAACCAAGCTGCATGCCTGCAAATTCTTATCTGTTTGGGAATGTTGATATACTATCTTAATTTAAGGCAAAACTTTCTGAAATTCTTCTGCAAACTGAGGTAGGATGTGTTAATAATGGCATTAAATGGTCCAGGCTGCAGTACTTGCAGTAACAATCTGTCTCTCCAGGAGCACACTGAAGGTTTTAGGTCTGCTTACACTGAGCTCCAGGAGAAAGAGCCAAACAGCCTTAGCACTTCCAGTCTGAAAGCTTGGATTTTTAAACATGTCTGTACATTCTCTGTGTGGGCTATCCTGTTTACCCAAATAGGCCATGTTCCTTGCATGGTCCTTCTTTTTAGCCCTGTAGAGGTTCTAGTGCTAGTTATCTTACACTGTCTTTTGTACTTCAAAGCCCTATTGACAGCTGTTCCAAAAACTCATTTTGCTGACTGTGTTATTCATACAATGGGAGAGGTATTGTGGAGATGGACAAGTAAGGAATCTCTTTCCATTTTAGGGTATATCTCACATAA